TACACTAAAATCATGAAATGAAAAATACACATAAGTCTGTGTTTGCATAATAAAAACTAGTGAACTCTGCTCAACTAGAACTAATAGCAAGCAAGAATAAGTAGGTTTTAAGCAGTGTTTTGAAACGACTAAGAGAGTGGGTGGCTTTTATGTGAAATGATCAGTTGTTGTTGTTCCTTCAATTAGGAGCCACAAATGAAAAGGCTCTATCACCTCTGCTTTTAAGGTTTGATCTAGGAATATTGAGGAGCAGCTGGAAATGCAGCGACGCAAAAGTCAGTTGAATAAGGTGGTGCCAAACCATTGAGACTCTTGAAAATCTGAAAGTCCCACTAGGCTGATCATTTTCACCAACCTACCAGTATTTCCCAACCAAGTAGGAAATATTGGTAGGTTGGTGAAAATTAAAGAAAAAACTCAAATCTTCCCTACAGTGATGGAATCCAGCAAATGTTTTGCTTCGGGTGGCATTTTGCTGGAGTGTTTTTTGGGTCTTTTGAACTTTTACGCTCTTCATTACCCTCCCAATGGAATATCTTTTAAGCAAAAAAACAGCTTCTTTCCACCTGTAGAGTTCCAGAGGCTTATAGCATCAATACAACACACAGTGAAGTTGTTATGGCAGCACATACTGGTCTAACACAATGTTAATACCAACTTTGTCTTAGTTCTGGCTTTAATTTTTTCACTCATCTGTAGTTTAGTGTAGTGGATACTATTTCTGCAAACTCTTTGCATCTCTGTTGCTCATCTTTGCTGAACCGTTGTTGAGCATGTTGCATAATACGTATCTTACAAACTGTAAACATGAATGTCTTCACGTATCCTCAAGTCATCCAGGTAAGGGAATCCCAGGAAGCTGATTCTGTTCACCTGGACGTTGAATTTCCTTCGGGATTAATAAAGTATTCTGATTCTAATTCTGATTCTGAATTTACAGTTTCAGAAATGTTTCATGACTCATCCAGGTGACTTCTTCGGGCTCTGAATGCAAAATCCAGATGAACAGAATCAACTTTTTGGAAACATGAATGTGGGACATTCGCAAACTGTAAACACAGTTTTAGATCTGAATCTGAATTTAGATCTGAATTCCCCCAAGTTTCCTTTGTTGTGACTCTGCATGACTGTAAAACTGATGCATAAAAGATAATGACCTTAAAGGAAATGTGCTTAAGTGTAATCCAGGTGTTGTAATGTAGATCTATATTATGAGACCTGATGTTCAGCGTTTTAATTTGTCTGCTCATTAGTGGTTTATTCATGGCTGATATTAATGAGATACTTAATGATGCATTGAGTCTGTGATGCACACTAGAGAGTATATTCACTGTTATGATGCACCTTTTCACACCACTAGAGGGTGATCTTATTGTGCATGAAGCCAAAGGGCACTTATAACTTAAAAAGTGACTTGCAAGAAAGTCCCTGTTCTGAACAACAGCAGTTGATCTTGTGACCTTTTAAAAAAGACTCCCTCCCCCACTGCTCACATTTAGTCAGCGGCTCTCTGTCCACCTGACATTATCAAATAGAGATGTGGTGTGCTTTGCAGAGACCCTGTTTGCATTTACTGGGAAG